AAAGGCAGATAAAACAAAATTTTTAGAAAAGCCCAAGCACTACCAGAGAAGAAAGGAAAAGGAATTACAATGTAAACAGATGATTTACAACATAGGAAGAAGAGTGGAATTTCTTTTGTTGCTGGTGGTCTAGGTAATGTCGTATTTCTTTGAACGTCCCTTTCTATGGATGGAAGCGATTGCTCATTTGTACCAGAGGAAAGGTGCTTCGGATTAATTTTGGAAACTTCAATACCGCAATGTGCTAAATTTTAATTATTTCACTTCCTGCTTGGTATATTAATGTTGTGATTACCCTTGAAAGTGTGTTACCGATGATGATTTATGCAAAACCCAGCCAGCTCCACAGCTCCATCAGTTTCAATTAAAAGCAGCCACGGAGGAAGCGGGCTGCCGCCACCTTGGCTGTGGACCGTCATTACTCTCATGAGCAGGTACAGTCCGTTTACTTAAAGCATTACCTGTGTTTATGGTTCTGGAACCATCTCTTCCATGGCACCACTAACCAGAGAGGGAGGAAATTGTAGCCATTTGGTCTGCTGGCCTTGGAGCCAAACTGAAGCAATTCAGGAAAATGTATTTTCCCTGCTGATCTAGGACATTTGGAGCCAATTCTTCCCTCCTTTGAAATGTTGAAGGGCTGACCTGGCCAGAAAAGCTATTGAGAAGCTATCATTTTCTGATTTCAATCAACAGGGTTCGGTCAGCCTCCGGGGACTGCGGTCATCTGGCGTCGGTCATAAAGTATGTGCTCTTTCTCAAATGAAGCCCTGTTTTCGGAGCTCGTTTATCTCAATGACTTCAACTATTGAGAGGTCAGAAGGTTTCCAAGGTGCGTCCCCAGTACCCAGTCCCTCTAATTACTAATTTGGCTGCACAGTTGTTGAAATCTCCTGTCTACCTGGCAGCCCTTCCTAAATCTATTCCAAACCATGTCACTGAGCTCCCTGCCAGGTCCGGGAGGCGCTCTTCCTTCTGAGCACCAGAGAGACGAGCCGCCAAACCTGATTGCCATGGCAGTTTCATTTTAATCACATTTGGAAATTCTTGACTACAGGCTGTGCATTTATGAAGTCAAGGGAGCCCGCACCTGCCAAGTGAGAGCGCCACCAACAGCCTGCCAGGAGCCGGACCTGGTTCCCAGAGAAGGAGGGAAAGAGCATCCACCTCGGAGCCTCAGGCCAGACGGAATCAGAGTCCTGGTGCGGGGAGGCCGGCCAAGGGCTCTCCCAGCGCGCACACGCAGTCTCAAACTGACCCTTCTTTCCAGCCTCACCTCCCGCCCTCCCCATCTTGTACTCTGTGCTCCGCACGCAGACTTGAAGATGCCAGGAGCCTTCCCAGGTCGAGGCTTGTGCCCCAATTGCACTCTCCACCTGAAAAACTCTGTCTATTTTGAATGGGTGGTGTGTGTGTGTGTGTGTGTGTTTTAAATCTTTTAAGTCTGAAATGTTTCTTCCTCCAAGGACTCTGTCTACCGTACTGTGCTCCGTCCTGTCTTACTTCCTTTACGGCACCTGCTCTGGTTTGAAAATTTACTTCTACCTTGTCTGACCCTCCTGCTGCAGTGTGATAACCTCCCCCGGGGCTGTTTGACCACAGCCTCCCCAGCACAAAGCACAGAGTTGGGCCGAAGTGTCACCATCACTGTCCCCTGTGATCGAGGAGGTGATGTTTCAATCTAGCTACAAGTCACATCTCGCCTATTCAACAGGCATTTATTTACTATGGTTATGTGAACCACTCACTAACTGGTGATTTTCAAGGCAGGTTCTTATGGCTACTAGTCATGGAAGGCAGAGTCTTGCCGTGCTCAGTGTAGGCTTCGAGTTGAGATCCACTCTTCCCATTTTGGCGGCTGGCATTTGTTCTCAGGAGGAGAGGTACCGTTAGTTAGTGTGAGAATGGTCAAACCCCTGTCTGTCGTCCCTTCCCTGGATGCGCCGTCGTGGCGTGGTGACTGCCCCCCTCTGGCCGGGGTAACGGGCCGGGGAGACGGGCCCTGCAGGGAGAGCGGCTGAATCAGCTCACTCTCACTCACTCGCCCGACGTTAACTGGTCCCACCCTTACATTTGTCTCTCCTAACTGCCTCTTTTGTTGAAACTGAATTGCGGTGGGGTCGATTTTTGTCCTTTCTCTTCATCTATCAATACCATCCAGTCTCCTTCTGACTTTACAGCCTAATCCTACTCACACACACTTTTTGTGACACTCATGCCCTTAACCTTGACTTCTAATCTCTCTCCTCAGCCCATCCTTCACTGTGGCATGTCAGGCCTCTGCTGAAGTTCTCGGCCCTGGTCCACGAAGCAGAGGCTGCATTCCAGGTGTCTCTAAGTTTTCTCCCTCTGCCTCCTGACTGGCCTCTCACTCCTGTGTAGTGTCTGCAGTGCCACCTGTGCAAAGGGACAATAAGGACACTAGTTTTGTTATCAGCTGCTCCCACTTTTTCTAGCTTTATAATCTGATGCAAGTCACAGCAGTTCTGCTCTTTGATTTCCAGTAAAATCGAAATAATAAAACCTCACAATTATCATTGTGAGAATCAAATGGATAACGTACAACGGACTGGAGATGGTTCTGGCACACTGAACACAGGAAATAAATCCAGCTGTTCCCTTAAAATAGTGCTGAGAGGTTCTCCACCGTCAAATGACCAAAGCCTGAAAGTAAATCATTAGCAATTTTCCTCTTTGGAAAAAGTATTCCATTTGTGGTCTTTGACCAAAATTAAATACCCTGAGGGCATTGTGTCCGTCGGGGTTCTGACAGAAACCAGAGGGCGTGCTCAGAAAGTTTTAACTAAAGAGACTTTAGTAAAAGGTATGAGCAGAATTGCAGGATCGCGTAAGAGATGAGGAAGCACCGAGGGCCCCACACCAGCAAGGCGCCAACAATGCCCACAGCAAGGAAGACAGTGCAGTTCCAGTGGCGGAGAATGATGCGGAATAAGACTGCAGCTCACTTTTGAGCTCCTACGCTGTGTCAAGTCATGTGCTGGGCCGGCGGAGGGTCTTTATGGGTCTATAAGAGCTTAATGTCAAGTTCAGGGGAGAGCACACAGAGGCCGCTAACTTAAGTGCGCTAGGCCTGCAGCAGACTCCGGTGTTGG